CCTTCATCATTCTGCAACAGCCTCTGTAAGTCTAGCCAATGCATGTCAGCTGCACTAAAGGTAAAGAAAAAAGTAGGGCAGCCTTTTTGTTCAATCAGGGCCAGCAATTCCTGCAGCCACTGATACAAATACTGATTCGTACCTTGTACTTTCGACACATAGCGCTGCAACCTATTTACCATTTGATTTGTACTCATGGAATTGATCATCTGTTTCAGTTCTTCCATTGTCATGTTTGCATCAGCAGGATGTTGACGCAAGTAAACGTTTGCTTGTGACAACAGCTGATGTCGTTGTTTCATGTTTAACGCCCAATAAGGAAACCGAGGGTGAGAAGCAAACCTCCATTCAAACTTACCATCTGCAAGCCTCTCTGCAAACTTCATTAAATGTTTGAAAGCTTCGGTTAACGTTATACCATATTGTCTTGCCCTATTCGTTGGGTCACCCTTCCCATAAGGAAACAATGTAGGAAAGGCCATAGTAGCTAAACTATCTGTTTTAAATTCATTAATGAGATTAGCTTCAGTAGATGACCAGTCTAACGGATCAACCTCATTTACTGCATCTTGGATAGCCGCACCTTTTCTCTGTCTTTGACACGTAGGAATAAACGATGTACTGCCACTTCCTAAAACTAACTCTTCCACACTTGCATTAGCACTCATTACTGGGTCTTGGGGAGGCCCCTCATTTTCAACATGAACTGAAAGCTCATTTTCATCAATGACATACCTTAGCTCATCAGGAATACCATTTTCTGGTAAACTTTGGATGACATCTCTGTCAATTTCAATATTTTTAAAGAACGGATTGTTTGTCTTTAACCATAGTACAGCCTCAAGAACTTTGTGTCGACGCACAGTAAAGTCTCGATGTGTGTCTTCTGCACCATGTCTTTGCACAATTAAGACAGGCAAGTCTGCCACACGAGAAGGCAACCTATTCAAGAAACTTTGAACATCTTGTGGTAAGTTAAGTATGTGTCCTTTATACCCCCGTTGTTATCAACTGTAACTTAAGCAATAACAGCTGAGCAACTCAAGAAGAGAGCAAGTGCGGCTTGAGTGTGCCACAATAACAACTATAAATGTGACAAAATATACATATATTATGCCGATGGATCCGAGGAACGAGACAAGTGAAGACCTTGAAGATACAGTGGTTGATAAAACATCTGAAGAAGTGACGAGAACACTGAAATTGACTGAGAAATGTCTGCAGTATCAGTGAATCTGAAGACGAAGAATTTGAAAGACAAAAGACACAAATTCATAAGACGAGTAAGATCTACCATGTTATTGAGAGGCAGAGTTGCAAAACTTGTTAAAATTTCCTCCGGGTAAAATTTAAAGTTTTCAAACCTTCCTCAAAATAAATTAAATAAATATGGCTTTATCAAATAGCAATATACTAGAGTATATAAACTTAACTGATTCTGAAAGCATAAAACACAGTACATGATTCTAATATATAAATTTGCCATAATAGATTTATACTTTGGACAAATTGGACAGTCCTTACCTACTACGTCTACATCCTATATCATATATTGAATATAAAGTAATATTAAAAAATGAGTCAGACTCAAGATAATCTTTAAAATGTGATGGTTTCTGAATCTGTAATAAAAAGCATAGTGTCACACATCTAAAAATTGAGAAATCAACA